AGCCCCAGCTCCTTCAGCACCGCGTTGGCCGTCACTGGCTCTGGCACTGCCATCTTCGTGGCCAAAAAAAAACAACCAACAAAAACAAACAAACAACCCCCCAAAAAAACCTACAAAAACAAAAAACCCAACCCCCCCCCCCCCCCAAACAAAAAAAAACCACCACTTTTTTAAGATCATCCCCTTGCTAAATAGAATTGTAACCAAGTGTGGCAGCCTGTGTCATTGCTAAAATAATCTGAGGGTAGCAGACTAATTTATTTTACTATAATCCAGTAAAGTAATAGAGAAATCAGTGTTTGCAGAATTGCTCGTTTTAAATGCTGTGAGTGACTTTCAGCATCTTCCCAGTAGCTTAAATATGGGAAATGGTTAGTTTAAAATGTACAGAAAAATGTCATCAGAAAACAATTTGAGCTGAGTGTGTAAGCACATGTTGCGTGTTTTAATTTCTTTGAGGTGGGCTACTTTTATTACAGTTTATTACCTACTCCTGTTTCTTTTCAGTGTGGAAACTGAAGGAGGGATCTTTGTGTAAATTAGCTGTCTAAAAGTCAGCTGTCTAAGATACCTATATCAGATCTTTTTGTAGCCATCATACAAAGGCAGATACTCCTAAAGTGTACAGTTCCTTTCCAATCTCTAGACTTCTAAGTCTTAAACAGCTGCAGTGAATTGAGAGCAATCGTATCCTCAGTGATTTGTCCAGCTGGACGTTAGTCAAAATTTCACTTTAAAAAAATCTTGCTTCCTAGTCCTGCTACTTCTGAGATCATGAAAAGATGATGGTTTTATTCAGTTTCTCTTCCTATTTGCTGTAAACCAGATTTTTTTTCAGTACTTGGTGATTGTCTGTCTTAGTTTTTCTATCACTGTAGTTTCTGCATGTCCATTTTGATCTTAGAAATAAATATTACTGTAAATCTTGTCCTAAGACAAAAAGCACTCTGAAAATACTTTGTTGCTTTGGAAAATCTTATGCAAAGTGCCTTTCTTAAAAGGTTGTTTTTACTTTGATATGGAAGATGTTCTTGAAAACATGTTTTGGTGTGTGATTTTGGGGTTTTTTTTATTTCAGGATATGAAATACAGGGAGGACTTAAGGCATCTGAGTGTTTGCAGTGTTGATCCTCCTGGCTGTACAGATATTGATGATGCATTACATTGTAGAGAAGTAGAAAATGGGAATATAGAGGTATTGTTTAGTTATTATTATTTTGTTAATCAAGCCAGTAATTTATTAATTTACTTCTTCCTTTCTTTTACAAAAAGTGTGGTAGTGGTAATAGTAAATTACATCAGCAATGCTCCAGATCTGTTGTAAAATAAATTAATGTTTTTTGCAGAAATGCAAGATGGTAATAAAGACAGGCGGTTGATTTGCATTACATTAGTGTCAGAAGTGGGAATTCAGTGTTGTCGAAATTCAACCTGTTTTCATTTGGCATAGGAAATTAACTTATAATTTATTTACTGCTTTAGCTAAGTGTAAACATGAATGTCTACAGCTAGGATAAGGCACTATCAGTAGAAAAAGTGAAGCTACTGCTGTAATGCCTAAGGAATGATTATCTTAATTAGAAAAAAACAAATTCAAAATATAGACTTGACACCAGCTCTTGACCCCCTTATATCTGATTTAGTCACGTTTTCTTAATTATAAATTTCATAGTAATTGTAACAGCAGAGTGTGCCAGAATTGAAGGTCTAGCAAACAGAAAAACAAAACCAAATTTGCAGTGACCCTTGAAGAAAGTTAGAGAGGTTATTTGAGCTCCCAGACAAGAGGAGTTGCATTGGTAATGAGTATAACTTCACACAAAATGTACACGTGCCCTTATTTTGCATGATTGCTGCAACTATTCATTTTTCTAATATCATTATATGATAGGTTTTAACTATTCCTGTAACTAAATATAGGAGCTGCTGAAGGGTACTGGGAATGAGTAAATTGGGTTGCAAATAAAATATTGAAAAAGTTTCTTTCATGTTGAGAACTGTTCCTGTTTCGTAAGATGCATAACGTGATGCCTGTTTTTTAGGTTGGTGTACACATTGCAGATGTCAGTCATTTTATTCGCCCGGGAAATGCTTTGGATGAGGAGTCAGCGAGAAGAGGCACAACAGTGTATCTATGTGAAAAAGTAATCGTTTTCTATATAAAAAGCTTTTTCAACAATTAAGTAGTTGAATTTTTCATTGCTTTCCTCTTAACTCTTTGCAGTAGAGATATTATCTCTAAAGTAAGAGGAAAAAAAAAGAGAGTAGACACCTTTGGTCAGCACTTAATTTGCCTAAGACTATCAAAATAAAGGTGCTTTCTGTCGCTCAGCCTGTACAGCAAGAGGGAAAAATAGGTGGTTTTTTTCTTTTTATTTTTTTTCTTTTAATCCATTATCTGAAGAATACCCATTTCAGCTCCTGTTTGAAGCGTTAATAATATATAATTCTGAAACTGGACTTCTATTTTAATATTGATTTGGAATTGCAGATTTGGTCTGGTTTTGTCTTTTCCATTGTTTTTTCCTGCAGTAGCTAAGCTTCTATTGCTACCTATAATTTGTATCTATAATTTGTATCCATTTTAAATGCACTTAGTAAAGTGATAATTAAATTGGAGCTTGGAATTAATTTCCTCTAAAGTAGCTTACTTTTCTTTCAGAAATAGGAGTTTTCTTAGGAAAAAAAATTGCGTTATTTTAGTATATTAAAAATCAAGAAATTAAAGTACATACTTATAACTAGTCATTATTTTTATGCTTTACTTTACAGAGGATCGATATGGTTCCAGAGTTACTTAGTTCCAATTTATGTTCCTTGAGATCTAATGTGGACAGGTATGTGTATATGGTCCATTTGATCCTGATGGGGAAACTCCAGATGTTTATATGTGGATTTTAACGGATTTTCCCCCTTCTCTCTTTCATAGGCTCGCATTTTCATGTATATGGGAGATGAACCATAAGGCTGAAATTCTAAAAACCAGATTTACGAAGAGTATTATTAATTCCAAGGTTAGTCACATAAATATTATTATTTCTGAAAAAAGCTGGAGACGGTTTTAGAAAAACAGTAGTCAACAGACTTGATAGTGAAGTTTTCTTCTTTCTGTTTATTGATTTATATTTTCTTAAAATTAGAAAATTATGCTTAAATTCTAAAAATAAAATGTTTGATTCTGCCCTGTTCTTTTAAGGCTGTAAAGTGTTTTTGTGTGATTACTTTGTTACAATACTTAATTTTAAAAGTGTAAATGTATTGATACGTATATTGAACAAGGTTGGTATATACCAGCCAGTCATTATTTTCAGTTAAATTCAGTGGTCTTTATAGATGTTTGTTTTATTTCTGAAAATTAGACCTCTAATGTATAAAATAGATCTGTGATCAGCATTCAAAAAAGCAACTGTAAATGCCTGGTATTTCCTAACATCTTACCTAGGTCTGTCCTGTTTTGTCCATTACTCTTTGAGACTGACCTTCATTTTGGTGTGGAATGTTAAGCTTTCTATAGTCATGAACCAACTTTGACAGCAAACTGCCATTTCTGCAAGACAGGACTGTTTTTCTTTTCAGTATTCAGTTGCATATAAAGATGTCTTCTTTTTAACCTCTTCAAGGCTTCCCTTACATATGCCGAAGCACAGATGAGAATTGATTCAGCAGCTATGAATGATGATATTACTACCAGCCTACGTGGACTAAACAAATTAGCAAAAATTCTGAAGAAGAAAAGAATTGATAATGGGTAAACTGCACTGTTATCCTGTTTTCTTTCTTCCTGGTTTGGTTTGATTTTGTTTTTTTCTTTTCTGGCTGTTTTTTGTTGTCAAACTGTATAATGGTCCTCTGTTTTCCAGTGAAAATCTGTTGAAAGAGAAGCATTTTGCCATTTTAGTTTGCATTAAAATATCTATTTTTATTTCCCCAAAAATACAACCTGAGGATGTTAACTTTTCTTTCACAAGATTAATCAGTATGGATCTCTTGCAGTCTTGACAAAAACACAATCAGAGTAGTAGCATTTGAAATTTTAGAGGCCAATATTGATGTGTGTCAGCATCGTAATTTTGGCTAATCTGAGCATCCACAACTGTATTTTTAATTTCTGCTAATTTTAAAATTTCTGCTAATTGTAAATTACAGATAATTGGGTATATGCCTGCAACTCAGCTACTGTTTCTGGTTTACTGTAATTCGTTAATAGCACTTCCTGTCTTTCAGAGCCTTGACACTTTCCTCACCAGAAGTTCGTTTCCACATGGACAGTGAAACTCATGATCCTATTGATCTGCAGACTAAGGAGCTGAAGTATGCATTCTATTTTTCTCAATTAGTGAGTTCAGGGCAAAGATGGAATTGAAGGCATGTTTAAGTAGCAACATTTACTTAATAGTGTACAAAGTTATATAGTAGTGCTGGGCAATCATAGGGTTATAGAATGGTTTGTGTTGGAAGGGACCTTCAGAGATCACCTAGCCCGGAACCCCTGCCATGGGCAGGGACACCTCCCACTAGATCAGATTGCTCAAGGCCCCGTCCGGCCTGACCTTGAACACTTCCAGTGGTGAGGCATCCATAACTTCCGTGGGAAAGCTGATTCTAGAAGAGAGAATTTTTCTGTATTTCTCTGTGCTGTTTGTGAAGCAAGTTTGAATCTGTTACAATTCATATATGAACTTAAGTCTTCACTACTGATTTCATTGAAGCACTAAGGTCCAAACTCTCTACATCCCATTGGCTTCTCTGTGATGCTCTTCTACTGGTATTAACAAAAGAGAGAAAGTAGAACTTGGAGTTACAAATTACTGAAACCTTAAGAACAACGGAGCAGTTATTGCATGTGTGCAGAGTGATGCAGACAGTCTCACTGAGGAGTTATCAAAATTCAGCTACTGATTCAGGTTCTGACGCTAGATACTTTCTTTCATACTACCACTTCATTTTTGTGCCAAAATCTGCACTTAGTTTTGTATACCATCACAACTTCAAACGTCATCTGCAGAATATCTAGACAGTACTCTTAAAAAGAAGTCAAAACGCTTACCTGTTGGGGGTTTTGCGACATTTTAAAGAGCATTTTTCTTTAGCATAACTTTATTTTAGAGTATTTTAGCTTTTTTCCATCTGACTCGTTATTTGAAACTTAGTAAATAATTGTTAATGTTTTCAGTCTTAAGTGCTTGCCTATTGTATAAATGTACAAACCCACTAGGTACTATTCACAGAATCACAGAATCTTAGAAGTTGGAAGGGACCTCGAAAGATCATCCAGTCCAACCCCCCTGCCACAGCAGGATCACCTAGATCAGGCCGCACAGGAACACATCCAGGCAGGTTTTGAATGTCTCCAGAGAAGGAGACTCCACAACCTCTCTGGGCAGCCTGGTCCAGTGCTCTGTAACCCTTACAGTAAAAAGGTTTTTCCTTATGTTCAGATTGAACCTCCTATGCTCCAACTTGCACCCATTGCCCCTTGTCCTGTCATTGGACATCACAGAGAAGAGCCTGGCTCCTTCCTCCTGACACTCGCCCTTTACAAATTTATAAACATTGAGGTCACCCCTCAGTCTCCTCTTTTCCAAGCTAAAGAGACCCAGCTCCCTCAGCCACTCCTCATAAGAGAGATGCTCCACTCCCTCCATCATCTCTGTGGCTCTGCGCTAGACTCTTTGAAGCAATTAATTATTATTTATTTAATACTGTGTTACTGTGTACTGTATTTAATAATTTGTTATTTAATACTGTGAGGATGGTAGAATGTTTCTTCAGTAGGCACGCAAAGTAAATATATAATTTAATGCTTTTCTAACAGTACAAAATATTTTATGTTGATAGAGAAACAAATTCCATGGTTGAAGAGTTCATGTTGCTTGCCAATGTGTCTGTAGCACAAAAAATTTACGATGAGTTCCCGGAGTTTGCCTTGCTCAGGAAACATCCTGCTCCTCCCCCATCCAATTATGACATCCTTGTGAAGGCAGCAAAATCACAGGCAAGTTTTTACCAAGCTAATTAAGTGAATTAATTACAAAAAGCTGTGTTTTCTCTCTGATTGGCCACTACTGAGGAATAAGGGTTGGAAAGCAGTACTTTGAAAGTGTAGCAGCTACGCTTTGAAATTGCTGGTATTTGTAGCAAGATATTTGTACCTCTAGATGAAAGGAGGACTCTTGGCCTTTTTAAAAACACTCTTTAAGACTTCTGCATCATGACTCTTGTGTGCTGTAAATGTTTCTCTTCTCCAAGCCACATGTGATTTTTGAGACAGTTTTTGGCTTTGGATCACATACATTATTGATGTACTTAAAAATTGTCAGTCGTGTCAACTAACGTCTCTTAAAGTCAGGGAGTAAGAAAATGTGTTCATAATTTTCCATCCTCTCCCTAGAAGTCAGTGTAACCTGAAGTAAGTTTGATTGGGTTAACAAGTCTGAACTGAAAGAATTATTTTTACAGTTTCAAGATGTTTTATTTTAGCTAAACTTTTAAAATTAACTTTCAAGACATTGTGATGTGCATTCATATTTCCCTCCAACTCCCATCTCCCCCTTCTTTTTTCCTAAGGGCAAGAGGAAAAACTCCCACATTCTAACAGTGTAAAATTAATAGATGAACCCAAATGCAGCCCATTTCATTTTCCACTGCTATAAAATTGGCATAGTGATAATTAATTCATTTGTGCTCTGAAAAGTATTTTTAAAATATTGTTTTATTTGGAAAGCTAAATTACTGTGTGTAGGCACACAGAAGTGACTTTTCACTACTCTTGACAGAACCATTGCAATTAGATATTAATATACTATAATTTTTTTTACACTTTTGAAATAAATGTGCAATTATTTTACCATAATACAGGCACAACTTGATCTCTAGATCATACTGTGTTGTCATTGGTGTACATTAAGGATGCATTTCCGTGATGCAGTCATCATCCCCCTTTACAAGAAAAAAGGAGAAAAATCAGACTGCTCAAATTACCGTGGTATTACTTTGCTCTCCAGTGCTGGCAAAATCCTTGCGAGAATACTTTTGAACAGATTAGTACCAGCTATCTCAGAAGAACTACCTGAAAGCCAATGTGGTGTCAGAGCCAACAGGAGTACCACAAACATGGTGTTTGTCCTCAACCGACTCCAAGAGAAGT